AAGGGTTCATCTCATGAGGCTTCATTTGAACACAACCCCCCCTGTTATAATTATAATGACAATAAAGAAATGACAAGTAAAAATACAATGAATAAATAAAAAGATGATATCAATACATACGCAATTAATAATTAAATAATAATAAATATTGATAAAAGATGTATAATATTTAAATAAATAATAATAAAAACAATAATAATATAATAATACAAAAACTTATAATAAAAAATAATATAATATAATGTAATAAATACATATAATATAATAATAATAAATAAAATAATATAAATAAATAAAATATAATTATAATAACAAAATATAATAACAACAAATACAATAAATAAATAAAAAACATGAAATATATACAAAAACAATCAAATAATACATCCAAAAAATAATACGGAGATTCAGAATCAGAATACCTTTATTAGTCCCACAGAGGGGACATTTACATTGTTACAGCAGAAAAGAGCCAAAGACAGTTTAATGTTACCTAAGCATGCATAACAAAAGTACTAAAGATAAAAAAAAAATTATAATAAAAAAGTTACACATTTTACAAAAATACACACCCTGTAACAGTTCTGAGGATTTAGCAGCAGGTATATTCATGTATTTATTTTATCTCTACATTTATTTATTTGTCTATTTATTTATTCCTGTATTTATTTATTTATTGCCTTATTTATTTATTTATTCATGTTTTTATTCATACATTTATTTATGCATTTATTAATGTATACTTGTCATGTTCCGTCCTCCATATAAGTGAGGGTCTGAGCTCTCTTAATCCAAGCCCCCAGGAAGTGCGCCGGACTCTGAGGAAAAAATTCGTCAGCCGTTTCTCAAAGTCGAGGACGCTTCCTTGGTAGGACATGTCCTTCCGAGTCAGGTCCTTCAGAGGCTAGGCAAGAATCCTTCCTAGCATTCGGAGAACGAAGAATGGAACAGGCTAGCAAGTGTGCAGGTGTGCGTCATATGAGAGGCCCCGCCTTAAATTGAGCGTGATTTGTTTGAAGACTCATAACTGATTTGCGAAGGTGGAAGATGTACTTGAGTAACTGTATTTTGTAAAATGATCATCTCTCCAGGACAGAACCACTAAACTAACATAAAACGTTCTCCTTCTGTTTGCAGCCTTGAAAAAGTCCTGGAGGATAAGCAGCCATAAGAAAATCATAAAATCACCATCACCAATCAATAATAATATTTGTATTCATATCATACTTGATGTCTGCAAACCTTTTTTACACATATTGGTGCACATTGTAGCACAAACCACAAATATCAACAAAAGAGGCAAAGTCAAAACAAGGTTCATTTTAATTATTTATTTAGGTGCAAAACGCTCTGGCAGGGGTCTCCAACACGTCGATCGCGAGCTACCGGAGTGGCGAAGTCCCTCCCCTTCCGGTGGACCTCCATGGGACCTTATTTCGGAAAAAATATGTATTGAAGTCAATGGAGAGAGAAAGATTATCTTTCGATCCCGTTTGAATTGTCCCACGAATTACACATATGATGTTTGTCAATTTAAAAGATAATTTTGCAAGTCAAAACAAAACAAATGTGTCGTAAAACTGTGAAGTAACACATTTTTTTGTGTGAAACGCTCAATGAACTACATCTTTTGCACAACAACACACGTCACCAAGATGGCCGTCACTACTGTCTTGTCAAAAAAGTGATTGACCACCCTCACTATCACCACAATGAAACACGTCCTGAATAATGTCATGCAAAGCTGCCTGCCTGCCTTCCTTTGATTCTCTCTGAACTGCCTGATCTTTTTAATGTTTAATGTCAACCATTTGTGCAGATAGCATGAAGTAGAAAAGATCGCCGAAGCTAATGTAGCGTTAGCATTAGCATTTCTCCCCCGGGCTTAAATGGTGTATTATAGAATGATCACACCGGTGACAGTACTCTTCAAAGGGTTCACGAAATATGACTACTACTCTTACTGTTTAACATTTTGGGTTACTTAAAGGGGACCTATCATGCAAAATGCACTTTTGTACGTCTTTTACACATGAATATGTGTCCCCGGTGTTCCAGGGAACTCACCAAGTGTCAGAAAACACAACCCTTTCTATTTTCCTCCATACCCAAATCTCTAAAAAAGGGGCTGCAACGGATCTGATAAAAACTGATCCAGATTTGAATACTGTCCTGACGTCAGGACGGTGGCGCTACGGCTATTGGGCCAACTCCACCAATCAGGAGGAGACAGCCACGGCCATTGCCGTTCGAAAGCGCTGGAGACGCTGTAGTACATATGCCAGGCCTGTAGGTGGTGCTGTTCTCACTGAATCTGCCCTTGCTAAAACAGAGCTAGAAATGGTCAAATTGAACAAAATGAGGCATGGCTAAAATGCATGATCTGTTTGGTATTTAAAAAAAATATATGTATGGAAAAGTATAAATATGCCTTATATAGGTATGGTCCTACACTATATTATTCAAATATAGCATGATAGGTCCACTTTAATGTTACTTCATGTTAAGGCTAATAAAAATGACAAGGCTAAGCCTGCTGTAATGCTAACTAACGTGCTAGCTACTAGCTAGGTAGCTAACTTGATCCAGCCACTCCTGGTCCTTTCATCAGACAGGAAGCGAAAGAACGAGCAAGACCCATTGCTGGTATGATAACAACCTGGTACTAAGCACACAGGCATCTTGTTAAAGTTATCTTATCTTAGCTATCTCTATTTTAGTGGAGGAAAACAATTGTGACATCAGTTATGAGTGACATCACTTACGCGACTCTGGAATTTGTAGTCTTTCTAGTTGCGTATTTTTCATAGTCTTATATTTCAACAGTTTTACGACAAACTGTTACTTTTTTGACATGGAAAAGATTTTTTAAGATTGACAAACATCATATGTGTAATTCATGGCACAATTCAAACAGGATCGAAAGATACGTTTTCTCTCTCCATTGACTTCAATACATAATTTTTCCGAAATAAGGTCCCATGGGCGTGACTTCGCCACTCTATAGAGTGCCACAGTGACGCGTCCTAAAACCCGGAAGTAAGTTAGCATTTTACTTCATAAATCTATCGATCATAAATCTATCGATTAGATTTATGATTCGAAAATTATAAAAGTAGGGTAGACATGTGGATATTATCCGGCTGAACAAAACGTGATCCGTCTCTTAAATGTGTGTCAACCACAGACCTTATTTCAAGCTATTTTCCAAAATCCTATGGAGAAATTGCATTGCTTTTTTGTCGAAGGAACCGGAAGTAGTTTACTTCCAGGTTTTAGGACGTGTCACTGTCAAATATTCGATTTTCCATGATGAAGATCAAAGAACTGCTGCCGAGTCGCATATTTGTTAGGAAACATAAGTCAATAAGTCCACAAGTCAATACACAGGACAGGGTCAGGCTTAGTCATGACACTACTGTTTTATTTATCTGATTATTATAGTAGATGGAGTCAGCCCCTTTTAACCTTTTTTTTATGAGACTAATAAGAACTGATAATGGCAAAACCAATGGGCCGATGATGAATTAGATAATAATAGCCATGAGTATTATTTATAACAACAATAGTAACAGCGGGATTATATCTCTTTACTTCATTATGATATAATATCACATCCTATATCATCCCATGATGTCAAACTAACACAACAATACATAACATGACATGACATAACATAACATCACATTAAATAACGTGAAATAATATAACATCACATGCAAATTACATTACATTACATCATGAAATAACATTGAATCATGACATGACAATGACCTTACTTGACATGGCATCACATAACATGATATGATGAAAAAACAAAACATAAAATGTCATACAATGACAAAACATAACATAACATAATAACATATTTCATCTCAACACAAATGCCGTGATCCATCCCAGTGAAATTATACATATTGTACTGCAGTTGATGAGATCAGTCACTCAGGTGCTGCTACTTTATTTTACTGCAACCATAACAGTGCAACCATTGCTATGGTCTATATAATATAGCCTGCTACCAGCAAAGCTACTGCTGCTACTGCAGCATAGTGACGTATCAGTTATGATGTCAACTCATGGGTCCTAGGTTCAAATCATTACCCTTTCCAACGTTCATTTCAATTTCATGGGATGTGTTTCTTCCTGACTTTTTCTGGCCCAAGGCACTGGCTTTAGAGCAGTCATGTGCACTCTTAGTTCACCTGACAGCTTTGTTTTTGTTGAGGGTTACCTGGTTCCAACTAACAGTGAAGGAGTAGCGAGCCGTTTGACCGACGCAGAGCAAAGTGCACATGCTGGAGTTTATGGTTTAACCAGGTCCTGGATGTATAGCGATTTGGACAGCTACTGGTTGATAGAGAGAGGAGGGGGGGAATGTGCAAGAATGTAGGGAGGTTGAAGGCAGAAGATGCATTCTGAATTTGTTTCAGAGTTGGTATGGCTCACTGGTAAATTTCACCTGCATTGACAATGACATGTGGGGAGGACTGGATTACAACTGGATTACAACCATAAAGTGAACTTTTTGGATGTTTTCTTTTGTACCTCTTTTGCAAAGCTTTTTAATTGAATTGTGGTCAACTGTCTCTTGTTCTTATTGGTTGATCTGGGACACAGTACAAAGCTCTGCGTTCTGATTGGCTGATCTGAGGGCAGCATTGGACGGTGCTGTGACTGGCTGACGAAAATGCCAATAGCCTGCTGCTAGGTGGTTCCTGTTTAAAAATGATAAAGTCACCTCCAGCACTATCAGTACTTTGACTGCTTGTTAAACTTGGTGTTTCCTTCTGGGTGTTTTATTGACTTGAGGAAGACGGCTGTTGAAATATTCAGTAACCCGTCTCCTCCGCCCCGGGGAGCGGGAGGCAGGGCAGCGGGAGGCAGGGCAGCGGGAGGCAGGGCAGCGGGAGGCAGGGCAGCGGGAGGCAGGGCTGCAGCTCGTCGGGGCTCCTGCAGGGGGCAGTGCAGCGGGCTTCTGTCCATGGTGCTGAACACTGGGCTGACTCTGTCCGCGGTGCTGATCAGCTGCAGCGGCTCTGTTTTGTTCCCTCTTCAGATGTGCTGTGCTGGATCTGCGCGGCTTCTCTCCCTGTAGAGCAGGACAGTCTGCGGAGATGTGGGAGGAGGGGGAGGGGAACATCAGTGTGATCGCACGGTAAGGCTTTATGTCTCTGACAAAGACCGTGGAGCACTTATTTGTCGGTATTTTCCGGGCCTTGTCTGCAGGCCTACGGTGGATTCCACACCGAGCAGGGAGGACGCGGTGCGGCTGTCGGACGCTTTCTGACGGCTCTCCTTTAATGGAGACGAATTAACACGGTGCGGTCAGGCTTTAGAAACCGATTATTACGGTCGTTTATTTCCGGCACATACAAAAGCAGCCCGGTGTCGATGCAGTGGATTGTGTTTGTGTGTAGTTCGCGGAGTGCTGAGGCCTTTGTGTGTCGGTGTGTGTTGGTGTGTGTCGGTGTGTGTTGGTGTGTGTCGGTGTGTGAGGCCTACACCGCTGCTGTCACCGCACCACAGGCTCTGCAGGATCTGCGCATAATGTTTTGTATGTGAACTGTATGATCATACAGTAGCCATTTAAAGTGAGCACCATAACCAGCGAGCTGCTGTCACACTGCCAGCCATCACATATTCTCTTTCATAATCGTAGAGGAATCCTCAAGCACTGATTTCGAAGTTATGTCTGTAAATTAACTGCTTGTTTTAAATGTTTTAACGAAAATTCTAGTTTATTATCAGTTTGAATGCTGAAGTTATGTTTTACCATACTGAACACCTGATAAGAGCCTTAACTGTAAAAAACAAATACAGTGTATTTCAGAATCGTCATCATCACTTATTATGTATATGCTGCTGCAGTGCTTCATGGCAGTGTTTAGTCCCCCAGTGAATCGGTCATTTGATACAAACGTGTGGAAAAAACAGCTGCTCACAGTAAAGGGTTCGTTTTCTTGTGTGTTTCATCCAACAGGAAATGAGTTCATAGGTCAAAAACTGAGCCAGCAGACCAGGGGAGAGCCAATCAACCAGAGAAGAGCCCCAGCATCAAAGTACTGTGTGTGTGTGTGTGTGTGTGTGTGTGTGTGTGTGTGTGTGTGTGTGTGTGTGTGTGTGTGTGTGTGTGTGTGTGTGTGTGTGTGTGTGTGTGTGTGTGTGTGTGTGTGTGTGTGTGTGTGTGTGTGTGTGTGTGTGTGTGTGTGTGTGTGTCTGTGTGTCTGTCTGTCTGTCCCTCTGTCTGTCTGTCCGTCTGTCTGCCTTGTGCCTCTGTCTGCCTGTCTGTCCGTCTGTCTGTCCGTCCCTCTGTCTGTCTGTCTGCATTTCCTGATTGAATCTTGCTGTCTCTCTGTTATTCAGATGAGCCAGGACACAGAGACACGAACACGGACCCGCTCCAAAGGCAGTCGGGGTCAGTATGTGCACGCACACACGCACACACACACACACACACACACACACACACACACACACACACACACACACACACACACACACACACACACACACACACACACACACACACACACACACACACACACTGGATGTAAAGTGATACTGATGTTTACCAGGTTAGGGAGCTGCAGTGTTGCCTCAGGTTTGCTGTGTGTCAAATGAACTTCCTCTGCCTGTGTGTGAATGCTAACTTGTTCATGTAGACAGAGGAGGAAAAGTAATTTGATCGTGTACTTAAGTAAAAGTAGAAGTACTCAGATGTTGTACTTGAGTAGAAGTACCAGAGTGTAGGAATACTCTGTTTCAGTAAAAGTCCTGCATTCAAAATGTTCCTCAAGTAAAAGTATAAAAGTATTATCATCAAAATATAGTGAAAGTAGCGACAGTAAAAGTAGTGATTCTGCAGATTGGTCCATTTCAGAATAATATATATGATATGTTTTATAATGATTGATCATGAAAGTGTTCTCAAAGCTGGTAAAGGTGCAGCTAGTTTGAATGACTTTGTATACTGCAGGGTAGCTTGTGAATTTACTCCAGGTGGAACTAAAGTCTGATTTAACACTTGATTATATTTCACATCATTCATCCACATCTGTAAAGTAACTAAAGGTATTAAATACATGTGGTGGAGGAAAAGTACACCATTTACCTTTGAGTTGAAGAGGAGTAGAAGTAAAAAGTAGCACAAAATTAAAATACTTAGTTAAAGTACCAGTATCTTAAGTAGTGTATTTGAGTAAATGTACTTAGTTACTTTACACCACTGCATGAAGAGTGCTTTGAGGGCTCGTAAAGACTGGAATAGCGCTGTATAAATACAGTCCATTTAACAAAATAAAAGCATCATCACCTTCTCAGTCTTTTAGCTTTCATACGACTGTTTCTGCTCTCTCTGACTCCGGCTGCTCTGCTCTCAGTGTCGTCAGAACTCGTGAGCCAAGAGATGAAGCAGGAGTTAAGGTTAGTATGTTACACTGTAACAGAAGAATATCATGATATGAAATGTTTCCTGTATGACGTGTGTGTTTGCTGTGTGTCAGCAGCAGCTGTCCTACCCCTGGATGTGATGGCAAAGGCCACGTCAGTGAAAGATACTCTCGACATAGGAGGTAGGGTTCATTCCGTGCTCCATCACAGCTTCTGCACACAGCTAGTTAGACACTAGAGCTAGAAGAAAAAAGCATGAAAAGTCATTGATCACAAAAAGCATGTACAGTGTTCACCTTAAAGGCCTGAACAAGGAGAAGCTGTTGATTTGGATGATGAAAGCACGTTCAGCGTTAGCATTGAGTTACATGCCATCCTGCTCTCCTCAGCATACTGGGATGCCCGCTTGTAAAGAAAAGGAAGCTGGAGGAGGCTGAGGAGAACCAGTCTGCTCCCAAGAGGAGGAACCAGCCCGCCACAGAAAGTGACCCAGCAGAAGAGGAGGAGGCGCAGAAAGAGGAGGAAGAGGAGGAGGAAGAAGACCTCAAAGAGAAGCAGGACGACAAAACTGACAGGCCAGAGTCAACTCAAAGTGAGTGAAAGCAAACAAGAGATCACCATGAAACATGTAACCATGACAGCAGTGGGGCTGCAGTTGGCTGTGTCTGCATCTGCACCAACGACTTCACAAGGGCCCCATCGCTGCATCCTGTCATTGTATATAGGGTATACAGTATAGGTTCTAGAGGTGGCAGAAGTACTCAGATCTTGTACTTCAGTAAAAGTAAAAGTACTCAGATCTTGTACTTCAGTAAAAGTAAAAGTACTCAGATCTTGTACTTCAGTACAAGTAAAAGTACTCAGATCTTGTACTTCAGTACAAGTAGGAAGTCCTTCATTCAAATTGTTACTGAAGTAATAGTAGAAAAGTATTCTCATCAAAATATAGTTAAAGTAGCGACAGTAAAAGTAGTCATTGTGCAGATTGGTCCATTTCAGAATAATATATATGATATGTTTTATAATGATTGATCGTTAAAGTGTTCTCAAAGCTGGTAAAGGTGCAGCTAGTTTGAATGACTTTGTATGCTGCAGGGTAGCTTGTGAATTTACTCCAGGTGGAACTAAAGTCTGATTTAACACTTGATTATATTTCACATCATTCATCCACATCTGTAAAGTAACTAAAGGGATTAAATACATGTCGTGGAGTAAAGTACACCATTTACCTCTGAATTGTAGTGGAGTAGAAGTACTAAGTAGTATTAATGAAAATACTCAATTAAAGTACAAGTACCTCAAAATTGTACTTAAAGGGCCCATGTCATGGCCATTTCCACTGATCATAATTACATTGTTGAGGTATACTAAAATAGATTTATACTGTGCATTTTTCCAAACTCACATTGGTTTCGCATACAGCATCTCTGTAAAGTATGTGTATTCAGCAGTATTCACTCTCTCCACTAAACGACTCGTTGGAGCTCTTGCCCCCCCCTCCCTGTGAGCCTAGTGTGCTCCGATTGGTCAGCTCGGCCACTCTGTTCTGATTAGTCAACCACCAGAGAGGCTGCGCCCATGTCTAAACGGCTGCTCTCAGCCGAACATCAGTCTTATCATGGCGTCGGTACAGCCGTATATTTTATACGCCAACTAACCGAACTGTAGCTACAACTGTTGTTATAGAAGAGTGTGACGGCCCCAGGGCCTTTGTCTTACGATGGGGTGGAGCTGAAGAGGCTAATCGGCGCGATCACGGACACCTGGCCGGAGCCGAGGTGCTAGCCAGCTGCCCGGAGTCAAACGGCAGCCCCTCTCTCCCTCCAAGCAGCACAGCAATCCTCTCCCCTGACCACCTATCTCTGCATTTACCACAATAAATGTGCCGTGGTTTTGTAAACTCGTGTATGTCTCCTTGTCTTTCCGTTGTGGCCTACGAGCCGGTCATAACAAAGAGTAAGTTATTTTTACCCGTTATAAACTACTACTGTTTGATGAGAAATCAAATCATGGTTTGCTATATATGAATGATATGTTATAGGAGCAAATAATTCAGGGAAGAAAGGATAGGCCTACTAAGTATTTCCATTAAACTTTATTTTTAGAAATGTACAAAATGAACGTAAATATACATATATACGGTATATCGTCAATTACTCCCCGTTGTCGGCATCTTGCTTATAGCAGCCGGGGCTTTTTGAGACGATGCCTCAGTGTGGTCGTCCAGTCATGTATTGTCCGGCAGGATCTGGCTGGACGAAATAAAATGCAAATCACAAAATATTAGAGAAACGTAGTTGTTTTAGATTCGTTAGTAGTAGTTGTGGTAGGAGTGTGGATCTATCTAATGAACAGCTTGCCTGCTAATATGCTAACCTAGCTTTGTTTACCTTGGTAGCTAACACGATATGAACGTTAGCTTGGAGGAACGGCAACTATAATGGAGTGTAATAAAACTACTATGAACAAAAGTTAGTGGTTCATATTAGGCTAGCAATAACGTGTTTATAATTGCATTATTCTACGGGTAGTCTGCTACGTTCGGTCATACAATGTTTCCCGCTAGCATGTATAGCTAGCCTCGTTAGCTATACATGCTATCAGCGTCGGAGGAAAGCCAACTGTAATGTACCGTCCTTTGGGGGTCTGTGAGCGGGCAAAGAGAGGGGATTTCCCTGTTGTCTCTGCTGGAAGTGTGAAATAAACAGAGTCCCCATTTCAGGGACACCTCTTGGAGGTCTCTAGGCCGTCCGTTGGGGGTCTGTGAGCGGGCAAAGAGAGCTAACCTAGCTTTGTTTACCTTGGTAGCTAACACGATATGAACGTTAGCTTGGAGGAACGGCAACTATAATGGAGTGTAATAAAACTACTATGAACAAAAGCTAGTGGTTCATATTAGGCTAGCAATAACGTGTTTATAATTGCAATATTATACGGGTATTCTGCTACGTTCGGTCATACATTGTAACTTGCATGAATACATTGTTTTGCGCTAGCATACAGCTAGCCTCGTTAGCTATACATGCAGTATGTACATGTACTGTCACAATGTACGGTAAATCACCCGGAGTATACTGTATGAGTATTCCGTGTGTGTGACTGCAGACATTCTCCTGCCATGACAAACATGTAAGGCCATCTGCTGACATTGTAGTTGATATATTTAAACGCTAGCAACGTAGCATAACAAAAATGTTTTTCCGACCAAACTAAGGTCTAGCTCCGTCGGTTAGATCGGTAGCATACACGCTACGCCAGCTATAATGTAATTACGTTTCGCGACTGACCGAACGGTAAATCACCAGGAGTATACGGTCTATGACTATTTCGTGTGTGAATTCAGACATTATCCAGCTATGAGGAACATGTATGTAAGGCGATCTGCTAATATTGGAGTTGATATATGGAAACACTAGCAACTTAGTTAGCACAGTTAGCACTGGCTTAGCAGTCCGAAACATGTTTACACATTTAAACAGTCGTGGTAGATACCTTGTTTGATAAATACACAAATAACAATGCAAACTTACAGGTTGTGTACCCGAATCTTCCCCTGCTCCAAACGGTCCAAACAAGCTGTGCATATCCGGCCTCAAACTGGGCAATGTTTTGGAAGCTTTCGTCTGTGAAATGCCGGTTCTTCGAACCTCTGGAGGAACAGTGTTAAAAATAAATTTCAACCACTGACTTCGTTGTGGTTCTTCCGTCGGTAGGACAAACAGCTCAGATTTCTCCTCACATTTCAGGAAACAGGTCCTTGGCATTGGCATGACTGGATCGATTGTGAACTGAACCAGAGCTTCCAACAGTAAATGTTAGGCTGGCAGAGGGTGCGGCCAGCGCCGCTGGGTGTGGCCATAGCTCTTCGGGATTGGCCCATTTCCTTCCGGGTACCGCATGACATCAGGCCGTACCCGGAACTAAATGGAAGACTCAAATGGGCAGTGACGTATCTCCAACGAGGCGTTTTGGGGAGGTATTTTCTGTGTTAGAGTTTTACTCGCTACAGGGTGTACTTTGAGGGTTTTGACTCTGCACACCGTTTACATGCATAAAAACCTTCATAACACACAAGGGGACGGGTAATAACCGGAAAAGCATGACATGGGAGCTTTAAGAACAGTACTTGAGTAAATCTACTTTGTTACTTAAACCACTGTTTACACTGTGTCAAATGAAAACTTTAAGAATTACAACTTTGTATCATCAATGTAAATATTAAAGGACACCTATCATGCTATATTTAAATGATATATTGTAGGGCCATACCTATATAAGGTATATTTATACGTTTCTGTTTTCAAAATACCAAACAGATCATGCATTTTAGCCATGCCTCATTTCGCTCTATGTGCTGTTTGCTGTCTACGGGTCTGATTCTGCTGACCACGCCCCCCTGCAGGAGAGGGGAGACGTGCTCTGATCAGCTGCTGGGCTGTCAGAAGAGGGGGAGAAAAAGAGATCTCCGTCCTCCGTGTTTTATTATATAGAGTCGTTATTCATTTGTTTTAAAGCTCAATAAATAACAGACCTTTGACCGGCACTTTTCTAATTTTGTCCGGAAGATTTAAACTTTAACGGACATCTTGACCGGCGAAACAAACTGAAACTGAAACTCTGCCGCACGGTCCCCTCGTTCCTTGGAAGAGGCGGAGAGGTGGGTGTTTGTCATCTGCTGGTGGACTAACCGGAGAGAATTACAGTGCTTGCCTCGACGGGGAGGGATTGCATTGCAGCGGGAGCAAACGCTTGCCTCGGGGAGGGAGAAAGAAAGCCACAGCGGAGAATAAACAGAAGGGTAACCATGGTAACCAAGTCTTCTTCACTGCTTTTGTGGCAGACTACAGCGCCACTTACAGGCCTGGCATATGTACTACAGCGTCTCCAGTGCTTTCGAACGGCAATGGCCGTGGCTGTCTCCTCCTGATTGGTGGAGTTGGCCCAATAGCCGTAGCGCCACCGTCCTGACGTCAGGACAGTGTTCAAATCTGGATCAGTTTTTATCAGATCCGTTGCAGCCTCTTTTTTAGAGATTTGGGTATGGAGGAAAATAGAGAGGGTTGTGTTTTCTGACACTTGGTGAGTTCCCTGGAACACCGGGGACACAT